GCAGCCAGGTTACCGTAAATGCAATCGCCTTCCAGAGAATCTCCGCACTCAACCACCACCTCCTGACGCCTATAACGGTTATCAGCTTGGCGAGGAGGCAGACTCAGGGACCAACGCTTATGATGTGGAAGAGCTGGAAGAACTTGGACCGGCCTTTTCTACTCCCTCCTTTGAAGAGGACCTCGAGAAGAATATTTATTCACCATATGTGAATGGGATGGATGTACGTTTGGCTCAATTCGTCAGTCAGCACAACGTCAACATGGATGATGGAGCTGTCATCTACCCTGTTTCAGAGGTAGAGAATACTAGTAGTAGGAAGAAAAAGTAAGTTGAATTGCTTATGTATATCTCAAAAGAATTTTTTAAATTCACCTAGTCTCCATAGACTTTTAGTTACTACTTTTCTACATAGGATACTTGGTTAGGCTGCTAGTATGAGGGTCAGGACTGACAATGAAGCTAGGAAGTTAGCTATCAAAAGTGGCATCTTTATTTTTTCATGCTGTGGATGTGGAGACCAAATCAACGACTACAAGTCAGCAGCATCTTCAGCTCTTGCATGTTTCTGACGTCCCTTTTCCGCGGAAACCTTTATTCATTTATGAGTAGCATAGTATTACGGAATCTTAAAGTAGTCCTTAGTTCCATTTATAACTTTTTCCGGCATCTTTAATGGCAAGAGACACCCTCAAGATATGTGCGTCCTCGAAGATGTAAAACTAAAGTAGATGCATTTTTGTAGGAAGGAAAAGGGCGAAGAAAGGGTTGAGTTGGATCTTAACTTTGTCATCTACTTACTAGAGGTGCAAACACTTCTCTGTAAGTGTCAATCAACCAATTGTCGTATGCGATACTAGCACCACCTTTGAACCCGTAGAAAACAAAATTTGCATTACCCTGTGTGTGCCGTCTAAGATCATGATTGCCGTCTCTGACCGTATTCACGATTTATTTTGGTCGCCAAATCAGCCATTTTAATCATGACAGTTGTTTTAGGGGAATTAAATCTACATTTCATTGTTGACGAAATGGCATCGGCACGGTACCAACAGCTATGCTCCTTCTTTCTCACTTACGCAGTTACTCATCAAAAGGAGTGGTGGTGTGATTAGAGCATGTCATTAGGAACAACAGAAATTAATCGCTGTTTGAGCTTATCTTGACTACTTCCCTTCTTTCGTAGACATTGAGGCTCAACAATGCTTAATTTTGGCAGATAAACAATAAAGTTTACCTGTGTTTTTGTTGATCGCGCTGCGTAGTACTTTGCGCACATTCTGTGTCCTCTTGTTCAACCCTGATGAATGTATTTTGGATGTGTTTGCCTACGCAACTTCCTCTAGACAGCAGGAAAAAATAAAGGTTGGCCCTGCTTCTGCAGGTAGGGTTTGATGCAACAAAAAGAAATAGACTAGCGTCCAGCGAAAATGAAGACTTCATTGCAGAATGCGACATCATATCATTTGATTTTTCCTAAACGTACAACGCTTAGCTCTCAATGCAATGCTTTGATGTCATGACCACCTAATTTGTTTGTATTAAAGTCGGTATATTTAAATCCTGTTACTAAAGATTTGATGAACTTTTCCTTCACGCACGTGTTTTTAAGTGGTAGTTGTTGGCTCCCTTTAATTTGATGCAATAAATGTTTGGCTAATCTGTTCAGTACTTCAGTCTTGATGAAAAATTCGCCACTATAGCTCGCAAAACGTCTATGCTACTTGAAAATAAAAGTACTTGTTCAAGATCCATTTTATTCAAACGACAATTTAATGCCAAAAGTCTATGAAGACTGAAAAGCAACTTACATAGCACTGTTACGGCACTGTCAGGTATCTCCTCCTTAAAGGAATGCGATAGCATTGCAAACCGATGATATCATACTGCAGCTGCTAGGCTGTAATTAAGTACCGTGTTTTGGGAGCACCAAAGCGTCAAATTAAAATCTCTTCCACACTGACTTGATTGGGTGCAGCAATCACCATTCGAAATGTCACTTGACAAATTAAAACTGAACCACTCTCTCTACCTTTAATTAAGGGCGTTTCATCCACCATGCGGATGTACTAGGCAGCAGTTCAGCTGGGCAGTGGGTGGAATCACTGTGGCGGTTGCGATAGTGGTCGCGGTGGCGGTTACTTTGGGTGTGGTCTTCAGTCGAGTGAAGCCTCTTCAATTCCCTGAAGCTGAGCCTTGGTGGACGCATGGTCTTGTCTACGAAATCCACGTCCCCACATTTGCTAACGATGTTGGCGGAGCTCTGGGTCGTTTCAAGGATGTCACATCTCGAATGGTCTACCTCGCCGACAAGGTTGGGTTAGCTTGAGAAATCGACTTGTAGCTGGCCACATAGAGTACATGGTTTCCTGGTTTTTTATCGTACGATTTTGACGTTATCAGTGAAGAGATGAAACTATCCTCCTGTCAACTGTTGTTGTAGGTCTACGCAACAGCTGCAATACTGACGGGAGTCTTGGACGCAGATAAGAATGGTGTGAGAAATTGGAAAACGATAAATCAGGACATTAACAGTGAGGGAGACTCAGTGGACATGCTTCTGGCCGGACTGGACACGACGGCAAGAGGAAATGAGATTGAGTTGATGCTAGGAATGCCACTATACGCGACAAGCGATAGACACCCATGGTTCGCGCAGAGTATACG